GGGGGGGGCTGGGGGGGGGTTCCTTAAACAGGAAGATAATCAACATGAATAACAGCAAATTAAACCAATTAAACTCCCGTGGATTTGACTAATCATTCATGGAAATATTGACGGAGCAGCTGATTGGCCGTCACTTCATAACAAACAGGACGCTGATCGTGCAGCACATTCACTCAGGACTCGTCTGAGTGAATGTACCAAATAATAAAGCTGTCGAAAAGAATCCTCAAAGACCGGGGGTTAGAACGAGTGCCTGACCCCTGACCCCTGACCCCTGAACCCTGAGAGACCAGCAGGTCAGACCAGGTCTGACATGAAGACATGACTCGTCAGAACTGCTGTGATCAGACCTGGACCAGGACTGGAACCGTACTGTTCTCAGGGTCTCAGGGAAACAGTTACCAACATCACATGGTCCTATATATACATATATATATTATATATATATAAATATGTATGTATATATATGTATATATATGCTGTTATATACATATATATAACAGCAGTATTTGGAATCTTCTTATGTTGAACTCCAAACATGCTCCAAAGTGGCGCTCTGTGAACTCTCACACAGTCACGTGACCTTCACAGCTCTGACTTGTCCTCAGTTATGTCACTGAGCAGCAGCCAATCGTCACGTCCCTCAGTGTGAGAGCAGCAGCAGCAGCAGCAGCAGCAGCAGCAGCAGCAGCAGCATCAACAACAGTCTCTGTCCTTGAATTCGTCCAGCGTTCGATCACTGCTGCTCTGTGACCTGATCCACATGAACAGAAGGCTGGTGCTGGGGGGGGGGGGGGCCTGGCTGACATGAGGGGGCGACAGTGAGTTCACCTTCATTTGTAATGACACCTGGATTTGTTGTTGTTGTTGTTGTTTGAGATCCGTCCATTTCTCTCTTTTTCTTTTTTTTCCCACTTTATCAGAGTTATACGTACATCATCAATGAGACGCCCCCCCCTGAAAAAAAAACATCCTCATCACCCTCCTTTTTGCCCTACAGGCGGACGCCAAGATGGTGTGCGACGTGGTCAGCCGCATGGAAGACACAGAGCCTTACTCCGCTGAGCTGCTGTCCGCCATGATGCACCTCTGGGCCGACTCCGGGATCCAGGAGTGTTTCAGCCGCGCCCGGGAGTACCAGCTCAACGACTCGGCGCAGTAGTACGTACCAGTATTCGTCTACTCCATGTCTGTGTGTACCAAAACTGTGTAAAATGCAGGCCCTAACTATGACAGAGCCGCTCCCAGAGTATGCAGTATTTTCTGCCCTCACCGTCAGACACTTCCTGTCTGTCACCTCCAGAGGTGGTTCGATGGTTCAGTGGTTTCTGCTGCAGCAGATTTTATTTTTTTCTATTTGTGATGGATGAAATGAAAATAAGGAAACGTCCTGACGACCACAGGAGTCCAGGCAGGTTTTGGAGACAGCGTTGAAGTCCGTCTTTATGTCCTCACCCACAGAGAAAAACACGGACGATCAACTCAGTCACAGCCTCCATCAAACCAGGCTGTGTTTATGTTAATGT